CGATATAGTAAATATTCGATATAGTCAAGAAAAATCCCCGTCCCGTCGACTTTACTATATCGAGTCTTGACTGTAGTGCACAGTGGCAAGGCAAGAATTTAAAAATAACTAAATTATATGAAGAACCAATTAAATTCCAAGTCAGCTATGGCGTTTGTGCTGACACGAAAATTAGCGAACGATTTCTGCGCCTGACACGAAAATCAGCTTGCCGTAACAATGTCTGCACTAGCATGACCGCATTCCGTACTAACATAGTGTAATAGTAAAGATGTAAAGAAAAAAAGAAAAGCTGACTCATTTCTGTTTTTTCCATGTCGCCAAAGGTATATAAGCGACCCTTATCCCATCGTCGAAAAACTCATGTTGTTTGATTCATGTTGTTATAATAATCTACTGAACAAGTTTTCTTTTACTGTTCTGTTTGATAATAATAGGAATAGACAGGACAGACTCACCTGGATATCTCAGCATCAAACGATCTTCTCTTGACAAGTACTCCATATCGAGAAAAAAGAAAGTAATTCACGGCTTATTGCATATTAAAATGGCTTCTTTTTATTCTTCTTAATATTCTTCTCAAAATATCGCTCTACCAGACTCCTCCACACTCGCATGATCTTTGGACAGGGAAGGTAATACGGACTTCTTCCCGTAATTCAGGATGTTCTTATCGTTACCTCTGCCCATTCTAATATACGAGTTTGAACCTCCAATTTCGTGGTATTCATGATCAGTTCCAGCGTTTTCCATTGACCATTTTTCTCCTACATATAGTTCATTAATGCTATGATCTATCGTGTCGAATCTTTGAAATATACGTGTATAAGTTAACGCCCGTGCGATTATATTGGGTTGGATATCGTAAATTACGTTTTTCGTGGTGGATTTTACGCGAATTTGACTCTGTCAAAATTATCGTTCGATACATTTCTTGTGTGCCAAATCGTGTCTAATAATAGGCCGCGCACTTTACTATTACAGTATTAATAAGGAACCGAGAAAGGTTAATGGTGCTAGATGAATAACTTCTTTAACAATGGGCGCCACTGAAAAAGGGAGGCTCAATATTCTGTTAAAATGGTTAGGATTGTACCCAGAATCCAGAATTTTCGAGGTAAGTTAGCTACAAAAATAGGCATCAAATTAGAAAGAGTGAAAGGCTTTAACAAAATGTAATAGTAATTATTAATATAAAGAGTAGATTGAGACTTTACAACTATTATTACAGCATTTTTTGCATATTTAGGTATTGCCATCACAGATTTATAACATTTTATTGAGCTTTAAAGGTCAACCATTCACATCAACAATAGTCTTAAAAATTAGTTACTAATGTGCTGAATGCAAATCGTGTGTTTAGTCAATAAAAGGCTTGGCGGGTTTATCCAAGATTAAGATGGCCTCAAACTTGTCATCATTGAAAACACGTTTTATTGGAAAAAGTTGTTCACTAATAACAATGTTTATAAAAACTAGATTGCTAAAAGGATTGCTGACACAAATCGTATAGAAAATCTTGCGCTTACACTTTCAACTTTTCATTTTTGTAGACCAATTAACCAGTTAGTTAATAATCAACGGATCAGACAGGTTTAAATAATAAAAGACAGTTTTGTTTCTGGCAAACTCACTCACAAGTATTGGTGTGCAAATTTCATTATTTCCAAGTGATAGCAGCATTATCGTCGTTTGCTTGCGACTAGCATACTAGACGTTGTCAATTTGAATTGGCTCTTTGTCGGTAAAAAATTCATTCAAGTCTTAAGTCTTTATTTTCACTTTCCAAGGAGGATTGAACAAAGTTATCAATTGCTGAATTATTAACAGTACCTAATGCTAACGACATAGTTTTAATTAAAAAAATTTTTTTCAAGTGAACAAATCTATACATGGCAGGTGAGTGTATTTGATTTTTTCCTTCCTTCTCAAATACCCGTTTACCGCGTTACCGTGAATAATCTTTGCGGCGAATTTTATATACTTATACTACGTCCGTCCACTTCCAGGTGCTTTTATTATTATAGTCTAATACCTTTACTCTTCATTATTCTTCTCATGTTAACGCAGTATGCCATAAGAACTACGAAAATACAACTATACAGTGTAGTAAATTAGATACGAATATAACATGGTTATATAAAATTATATTTGTTTCGGCTGGCAATAGTGTAAACGATTGAGTAATTCGGTCGACGTTTCTACCAGGACTTGGTAGTCCATGAATTTCTCGAGAAAATTTTTCACGGTGGTAGCAATGGTTATATCAATGGTTATTTTGGTTTTCCATCGCGGCCCTTTTTTTTACATTACCATGAACGCGCGATATTATACCATTCGTCGCTAGGTGATTTCGAAGTGCGTGCGGCCAATTCCTAACATATCGAGACACGTTTTCTGACAAAATGACGTCTTGCGATCATCGAAGTCTATGCCTCTACTTTAAAAATAGTAAAGCATCTTGTCGTGATTCTTGATTACGTCAAGTCAGTGATACACAAAGATAATACATAAGTTTAAAACTAAAACACACAAACTAATGACGAACGACAGATATGAAACTATAACATTCTCTTCTTTTTTTTAAACGCGTTAATTAAGAAATTTAAAACCGTGCGTGTGACCATATTTGTTGTTTTTGCAAGCTACCAATGACGCAAAGCGTCGATCTTTGCATATCCACCAATAGCATATGTAACATTCAATTATCACCTTTAAACCTGACGGCTAGTCATAGCAAGCGAGCAAATATTTAATCGGTAGACTATGCCCATAAACTACGTGAACATCTGCATAGCACTTTATAATTATGAAGCGCAAAATGAAGATGAACTTTCTTTTAAGGAGGATGACGTTTTATATATATTAGACAACGATGATGAGGAATGGTGGAAGGCTAAGTTAAAGATTCCGAAAGATGCAAACGGTGAAAACGACGAAGAGGGTCCCATTGGCGTAATACCTTGCAACTACGTGCAAGAGGTGTGTTTATGACTTTTATGTAGTCAGGCTTTGCGGTTAATAATTTAGAAATGGGGTGTAAAACATACTGATCTCGATCTATATGATCATAACTTCTGATCACAAAGTGTATACCTATATTATTCGGTTAACCTGTCATGCTGTTGCAACAAAACATGTTATGTAGGCAGAATGCTCCGCAGTAGTAAAAGCTCTTTACGATTACGAGGCACAGACTGAGGATGAACTTAATTTCGCAGGAGACGATATTTTATATTTATACGAGAATGACGATCCTGACTGGTACTTAGTGAAACATAATGACCAGTTTGGCTACGTTCCTGCGAATTACTTAGAGGAGGTTTGTATAAGAATGAATTCTTGGTATGTCAGATTTATGTCAGTCTTCATGTTAGTCTAATTACAAACGTTTATGACATATTATTTCAATCAGACTTCATTAGAAGAGCAAGCAGTGGAAGAAGAGCAACAATCTGAAGAAGGACAGTCTCCAACCGTTCCAGCGAATAAGTCAGTCTCCCTATTCCAAGCATTGTCGGTATGCAAGATAACTCTTTCTTAAGTGCGATCAAGAGCCTGTGCGTAACATAAGCGTCATAAATATTTATTAATTAATTTCTATAGAGCGCAGCTCAGCAGAATTCTTATGTAGATCCATTGAAACTATATGCTCAACAAGCTGGTCGTCAGAAAGACGATTCCTCGGCAGTTAGCGTAAACACGTGGGCGGTTTTGGTAAAGTTTTAGCATTATGAACTCAAACTTTAGTCTGATGTAATTTACTCATGTTCGACCTATCAATCATTTAGGAACTCGACAAAAAGAAAAAGAAGAAAAAGAAGGGAAAGCTGGGTATCGGTCAGGGGAAAGTATTTTATGCAAGCGAATCAGATAAAGTAACTATTATTCTAAGTTAGTGTCTACTTGGTTCTCTTACGACAAGGTAAACTAAATGATACTTTATCTAGTCTGCACCAGTCCAACAATGGGATGTTACGGATGTCACGGATATAAAATCGGATAAGAAACATGTACACATTACTTTTGGTGGATCAAAAGCTGCAACATTTAATTTCCAAGCAGGCTCCAAGAGTGATGCAGAAGCGATAGTCCAGAAAGCAAAAGCTTGTCTAGCAACTGTAGAGCTGCCAACTGTCAATCTAGACAGGGCTAGTAAAACATCCAGCGTGGTTATCTCACCAGGTTACTCTAATCGCCAGTCGTATGCTGAGGCTCAAGACGAAACTCAAAGTCAACATGAGGAGTACGAGCATGCAGAAGATCAATACCAGGATGATGAAGCAGAACAAGAGGCGGAGTACGAGGCACAACCGACAGTAGAAGAGGATGAAGCAGACCGTGAACTAGAGGCAGCCACCATACTTTATAATTTTAATGCCGACGGTGATGATGAACTGACTGTTCGAGAAGGAGAAAGCGTTTGGGTCGTTGATTCTTCTAGCACTGAATGGTGGAAATGTAGGAATGAAAATGGAGAAGAAGGAGTTGTACCTGCATCTTACATTGAAGTAAGCGCAAATTAGCAATTCGTGTAGGAAAAAAATTGTGTATTCTTGTACTTATATAAGAACTTGTAGGTTGTAGAGGAAAATGCTGACGTTTATGAGACGAACGAAGACGAAGCAGAAGAAGCTGAAGCGGAACGGCAAAGGGAAGAGGAGGAAAGGGTACGTCGCGAGGAGGAAGAATTAGCACGCCGCGAGGAAGAAGAGCGACAAAGAAAGGCTGTTGAGCGCCGTAGACTCGAAGAAAAACGAAAGAAAGAAGCAGAGAAGAAACGTCGCGAAGAGGAACGCCAGAAAGAAACAGCTCCCCCTGTGCTGACTAGTAAGTCGTGTTAATATGATGACTAAACTTGAATGTCAATAGACTTATCTCGATGTATTTGTATTAGGCCGACCACCAGTTCGAACGAAGCAAGCAAGTGGTAGGAGTTTTTTATTAGCTAGTTTCACATTGGTCATTCCAGAGGCGAGCTCTTTACCAAACTCTTGTTTTTTATATAGAGGATAACGCGAAAAAGATTCAAACTCCAACAAATCGTGCATTACCAGATCGACCTGCACAAGCTCAGTCCAAATCGAGTATGTGTCATTACCGTTGATTGGAACTTTCATGAGATGCGGTTTAATATTTTTGTATATAATAACGACTCTGAATTTCTTTGGCCACAGAACCATTACCATCAAATACGCGGACATGGACAGACAGAACAGGTGCCTTCAAAGTTGAAGCTCAATTCCTTCGTTGTGTCGATGGCAAGATTCATCTACACAAACTTAATGGTGTGAAAATCGCTGTACCAGTTGATAAAATGAGTAAAGAGGATATAGCATATATTGAAGAGGCCACCGGCAAGAAGGTAGAAGACAATAATGACAACATGCCGTTAGCGGCCATTGCAGTAGCACATAAAAGCAAAGAGTCTGCTAAAGACTACGACTGGTTTGATTTCTTCCTTAAAGCCGATGTCGCTTATGAAGATGCCTACAGATATGCTACCACTTTTTTCCAAGAGAAATTGGACGAGAGTTCAATACTTGATTTGACTCGTGAACTCATGAAAACACTCGGAGTGAGAGAAGGCGACATTCTTAGGATAAGGAAATATATTGATACTAAGCATGGTCAAGAGCAGAAGAAAACAGTGACATTTGCTGCAGACGTAAAGGATGACGAACTAGAACAAAAAAAGCAGGAAGAATTAGATAAAGGATTAGCTATCAAGATTCAGGTACCATCATGTTCTATGAAAAAGATATTTTGTTTTGATTAATTTTTACCGAAACTTACAAGTCCAATTTTATAATTGCCCTAGTCGGAGGAATCAAATCAATCTCAAAAGTCAACGGATTTCAATAAAATTATGCAAATAAAACGCGATGAGCAGCTTGCCCGAGAACTTCAAGAAAAAGAAAACGAGATTGCTCGCAGTCAAGGTAGATCCATACCAAAAGCTGCTGATATCTATGGGGATCTAGGGTCAATATTGCAAAAAGACGATAATAAAACTCCAAACCAGGGAGCGCCTTTACTATTTGCAGGTGCTGATGGAATACTAAAGAACAACACTAAAAAGGCTCGTCCTCAACCGACAAAGTCGGCTCCTTTGCTTATCGATGCCAGTTCATTTACTAGTGCTAAAGGTAGACTAGATGAGGCCTTTAAGGCGCCACAGCCAAAGCCTAACGTGACTGGTGGTTTTGACGACGACTGGGGTTTGAACAAGGACCCTACTCCGGCGCTGCTAGCGCTACCACCACCCAAAACAGAGACAAAGGCTCCATCACCTCCTCCACCTCCTCCACCTCCCCCACTGCCGCTACCTCAAACTTCTTACACAGCGCAACCTACTTTTACTAGTACAATCCATTCGGCTACTCCTCCACCACCTCCTCCACCACCAATATCCTACACTCAACAACGGGGTTATGGATCTACAATCCATTCGGTTGCTACCCCCCCTCCACCGCCTCCGCCTCAACAATCAGCCCTTATCAGGCAGAATTCTGGAACGAGTCTTTCTTACAGTTCACAACCGAGCTTTGGTACGACACTTCAAACATCACAACCTTCCTATACTCAGCAAACAAATTTGAGCACAATGCATGCAGGTACATCATCACCTCTGAATCCTCAACAGTCAGCTCTTGTCCGACAGAATTCTGGCATGAGTCTTCCGTTTGCTTCACAACCGAACTTCGGCACGACAGTTCATCCAACTCTACAACAACAACAACAACAACAACAACAATCATCCCTTATCGGACAGAATTCTGCAATGACTCCTTCATTTATTCCACAACAGCCGATTAATCCATCATTTGCACCCCGTCCCTCCCCAATGTCTATGATGAATAATCCGGGCGGTAATATGTCATATAATAACGGACTTGGTAATTTTGGCGGCGGCGGCGTCTTGCAGCCTCGGCCGAGTGGAAGTGGATTTGGACCTAGTTTTGGTCAATTACCTCACCAAACTACTACTACCTCTGTTACTACTTATACAGGTATGTTATCATGTCGCTAATCTTGTTAGTAAGAGCGTGTATATTTTACGTTATATACAATTTGTTTCCATATATTCAATATATTAATCACTGTATTGTCACATATGTTCACCCTTTAGTCGTATCATCAAATGCGCCAGGACAATATCCATCTGCAGGGTTTAATAACTACCCACATACTGCCAACCAATTCAACCCCAACAATCAGCTGCAACCAGCTGGTTCATTTCCTCAGCAGTCACCATTTGGGCTACAGCAACAGCGGCAACAACAGCAACAGCAACAGCAACAGCAGCAGCAGCAACAAGCCAAGTTTGATCCACAAAATGTATTTGCTTCAATGGCACAGGGGACATTCTCGAACAAGTATGCAAGGCCATACTAACAATTTAAATTATTTGAAAGCACAATTGTATCGTATGCAATCATTGTCTTTGGTGTTTTGTTCGTTATTTCAACTATTTGATTTTGAGGTTGCAGATCCTAATGAAGTTTCCACAGAGCTGTCCATCAGGTCTTCATCTGGATCTCCCATTTGTATAGTGAAACAGCATATATTATATAATTAGTAGACAAAATATGGATAGAATGACTAATCGAATATTTGCAGTGATTCAATCAAATCATGTAATCAATAAACTTATTACCATCTTGTTACTATTACTATCACACATAAGCTTAATTCAGACCTGTTCTTGAGAATTATTAATGCATGCTATGAAGATACCGAAATATTAATGAACCCTTCTATATCGAAGTTGAAAATATATGCAGAGACTTTGGATTAAAATTTTCTATTGGGTGGCCCATAAAGAGTGGACTGTATGATTATGGAACATACTTGGAATTCAAAAAGCAACAGTTCTGTTAGTAGATAATCAATAAATAACAAAGCAGCTAACTGTTGAAGAATAAGTTTGCAAGTTAATATATTACGCACAGAATGTACTAAAGTTATACAAAAATCAATATTTGAGAGATTTTCCCCAAAATATTTCAGCGATCTCTTGTATTATCAAATTTCAATTATCCGGCCTGATAACCTCTAGTTTTGGTATTGCCGACATACAGCGTCGAGAATTAATCAGTTGTACGAACGATCTTTGATACAAATCCTAGGAACGTTTTTAATTAGACGATTACTATTCTTACCAACAAATCAATTCATTCGTATCATAGTCGAAAGCAGCTTGGTAATAACAAATAGCGTACGGCTTTGTTGCTAAAGTTACCTTTCAAGGATTGTCCTAAAATCTTTCCTGGTCATATTTTCATATTATTTAATTCAAATATCAATGTACCTCTACTCTCCTGGCACATAAAAAATAATTCACTTCCATGGCCCAGGGAAACCTTCTATCAACCTCAAACCACTTGCCTACAATTGGATTGTATCCTACTCCAGTAGTATCTACAACAGCCCATCTGGTTTTATTCACCATTCCTTCCGTGTCTTCACCTTCTCTTATCTCATCTAAAGCTAGACTTACTTCCTCAGGCCGTACATATTTATAGAAATCGTGTGTCCCTAAGGGGACAATATTTAGGATTTTCTCGGCTAACAGAATGGTCAAAGTATAGGAAAGTAATGTTCTGGATATGGTTGAAATGAAGAGGTGCCCTGTAGGCTATTATAAGTGATAAGAATGTATTAAAAAGAAGACAAATTTACGAGGTCAAGATAAAAACTGATTGGAGAGATTATTGGTTACCTTTACAAGTCCACAACACGCCTTGAGAAAGTCAGCAGGATGATCAACATGTTCTATAGTTTCCATTGTGCAGACTGCATCAAAAGCATTCTTTTCTGTTTTTATCAATTCTTCTATTAAATGTAATAATAAAAAGCGCGTACTATTAATTGCCATATAATATAACAACTGAAATGCCAATTTTAATGTGGCATTAATAAACTGTGCATGTAAAGTTTTTGATCGCATTTTCGAAAAGTTATGCTCATTACTGTCAAACATTATATATTGCCACGCAACTTCTTGTGTGCAATTATTTGATTGCCGTAATTACTTTTTCGAAAATAGACAATTAACTTAATACTAGGTAAATCGAAGAATAGTTAAAAGATTCAAAAAGAGTTTACTATTACAAATACGTTAAATGGTAAAAAACGTATGGATGATTCGTTGACGAAAGTATTTGTACCAGAGCGTTGCCAAATTTGCTTAAAAGTATAACATTCCATTTTGTGCTATAAAGCTACTCTCAAACTTAACTGCTTCCCTATCAATGGTAAATCATTAATAGGTCTAATGCCAATCTTGTTTCCCAAATTTACTCACCAGCAGTAATACATCGATACTCAACCCTTCCAGGACCAGAAATTAACCTAGGATCTTTCTTTGCATGACGTTGAGCGACATGGACATTCTCATTTGATGCATCTATTCCGACTACATTTGCACCTAAACGTGCCAACGACTTAGCAGAGCATGATTCGGTAAGTAAACTTATAATAAATCGATACAAAGATACGTTCCAATTATGCGATTGATCATGGAAGAACGCACTACCTCAGATAATAGCCCCCCTCCACTGCCAACATCCAAGATCTTCCAGCCTTCAAAGGGTAACTTATGTCTTTTCTGGAATCTACCGGTTTCTTCACAACCTCTGTATTCAGCAAGATGCCTTCGTATATAATCGATTCTAATCGGATTCATCCGATGAAGAAGAGCGAATGGACCGGAAGGAGACCACCAGTGAGCGGAGAGATCGGAGAATTTAGCAATTTCTGCTTCGTTTATTGTTGAGTACAACCTAGGGCCGGAGAGATACCGTGAGAAGGTTGTGTGGACTCTGAATAATTGTGAGAGAAGGAAGTTTGCGACGTTAAAGGAAGAAATAACTACAATAGCTGCAGACATTGACATTATACATATTACCAGCTCTCGCTCATACCCAATTTTTCTAATCATGTTTCTCCTACGACCATATACATGAGCTTTAGTAGAATTCAAGTCAGTCTCGATAGTCCTTATGTTGGTGGTTCCTACACAACATTCTCCATAGTTGAAACGCGTAGAAAATACCGGTACTGACGATCTTTTGATCGAGTCACATGTAATGATAACGTGATGGGCTCAGCAATCTTACCGTTACTTTTCATCTCTACTGTTTCAACTATACTCTCATATTTAACATGCCACAACCATGGATGCCGTACTTAGAACCGCGAGCAGACTTGCACAATATGTATCGTCCCGGGCGTATATATGACATAGCCGAGTTAGATCGTGAAGAACAAGAATACGATCTCGAGGTAATCAACAAGTCGATAAAGAAGAGTGCAGGTGGGAGTATGATTCCTAAAATCAAAATTTTGAAGGGGTTACTGTGAGATTAATTATTCGAAATTAGATGGTGCATTTTATACATTTTGATTTCAATATAACTGACTATGCAACTTTATCTTGCTCCGTATATCCAGATTTTGGCAATTAAGAATGTGAACAGTCATTGTACGATAATTGGCAAACCGGGATCTCGCGACGGTGACCCCGCCGATTCGGTAAATTCTACAAATACGTAAATACATTATATAATGCACAACCTGTTCCACTTCTTATATTTATTCTCACAGTTTCACCCAAACCCTTGTCTTTTTACTCTCTACTCACCATACTCCTTCCTACAGGATGGAGAAGCAAATACAGAACCTTCTACAGAAGACACATCTCATGATGACTTAGAAGAAATTGATGATTCTCCGGAAGATGAATCTATGGTAGACGACATGTCAGATCATGATCTTGACCTCGATGTGGATGACCACGACCTCGATGATGCCGAAGACGACGCCGACTTTGAGCAAGATTTGTACGAATCGATGAATGAAGCTGGGATGTACTCTGCATATGGAGATGATGAGGATATTCAATAAATCGTTCTGAACAATTGTCTTGCGTTCATAACGGCTTCTCGACTGGGTTTACGATATAACTTGCCGAACAAAGTGGGCATATTTATTGGCGCTGTCAGGACTTTGCAGGATTTAAAGAAAGGCAAAAATATTTGGGCCATCACCAAGACAAGAGAAAGAAATATTAATACTTCTGATAGGGTGTGTTATAATTTCAACCATTTATATTGAATTTCTGCCATGCTTAATAGAACACATCAAAATTCTGTTTAACGTGATGAAGATTCAATAAAAGCATACTTATTCTGAATGATATACTTGTGACATCACTCTAGAGGTATGAGACTAAATTGTCAATAATTGCTAATCACAAATGTTTGTTTTCATAGACCTATAGTAATAGGATTGTTGAGAACATCTTGAGACCATTTTGAAGCTTTACTATTATATGGGGCAGACTACAAAAAAACCAGACAAAGTAAAAATTTTATTATGTGACATAAATGAGAGGCTGATTATGATGTGGCTGTAAAATTGACCAGTGTGATTGATGGCATTTTGAAAAGTAATAATGGTGCTCATTCATAACTTGTGGACTTGTTAATTTTAATGTTCACTTTATTATACCAGAATGTGATGAATATAAACCATAACACATTTAATATAGGATTATGTCTATATAAAAATATAATATGAAATTAATTTACATTAAATCTACCATGGAACGCAAAAATTACAGCACTATTAGAAGCATTTTAAAGAAAGAGCAAGGAGAAAAAATTGCTCCATACGTTTTTAAAATCAAACTCTTGCAACACACGTGCTAAGCTAGTTACTTATTTTAATATTTGTCGCACGACTAGTCCAAGTACCTATGTTTTCTTCGTGCAGATTTGTGACACCAGACCCAAACCCTCTTGGCATACTATGGCTGACCCAAACACATTGACACTGTGGATCTGTCTTGAGGACAAGCCGTGTGCTGAACAATTTCGTGTTACCACCACCGACATGAATCTCGCAACTGCTAATTTGGATGACCTTGCACAACTTCTTCTGCAAAGAGACATTCTTTGTTTTCTCAGGTGTCATACAGTGATTGCTATACACCCGCCATAAAGAACAACAAAGACGCTCAATATGTGCTTATGTGTTTAAAATAATCTTTGTTTATCATCAAAAGAAAGGATTCAGAGGTAAATCAAACGGTTTTTGTCAGGCTTTTAACAAATCGAGCTTACTTTTATGAACGCATGAGGTTACTATAAAAGCAGCAGAATCTCTCTTCGTTCATACCTAACAATCATCAATTTAAATTGATCGTAAGATCAATCGTAAAAGCTATCCGATCGCTTTTGACTTAAACAATTTGAAAATGCCCACTTTTACCAGCAAATTTTATTGTGGATTACTGATCGGAGTTCTCCTTGGCTTCATGCTTTATTATACAGTGTATCACAAAAAAAAAGTGGAATTATATTTTAGTCTATTGTGTGATGAAAAAAAAAGCTAAATTGTATAATTATATTTTGTATAAGATAGGGAACAAATTTATTTAAGGACAGTTAATAGATTATTTTATCGAAAAAGTAATTACAAGTTAAAAAGGAACAAAAGCATTTTTTATAAAAACTTTTATTAAGATATTTAATTAAGTAACTTTAAGTAAACTCGTTTGCAACAACATGAAGAACATATTTGAAAA